CCGTTAAGAAGACAGGTCCCTGCTGTAGTCCTCCCTGAAATCTAGTACAAACAAATGTCTTCTCTTGGAGCCTCTTGGGTGGGGTGGCAGTTTTTCAACTGTCAGCAATCTTTTCGGGTTTTTTTTGAAAAAAAAAAAAAGTTCTTTTTTTTTTTTAAAAGCAAACTTTCCAGTCCTGTTCTACCTGGAATACATTTTCTCCTCTGGGGCCCCTCCCCAGGCCTCTGCGTTCTCTGTCAACACAGTAAAGCCAGCCCCCTCCCTAGCCGCAGGCAGTTGAATGAAGCAGTTCTTTGCTCCACGAAGGAAATATTTCCATGGAGTTGGGCCAAGAAAACCCCTAGCTTGAATCCGGGGCTGGCCCACGCCCAAAGCTAGGGGGGCCCTGTGGGGGCGAGGCTGAGCGACGTGGCCACGTTTTCCTGGTGTCGGGATGTGACTTCTTCTAAAATCCAACCCCTGGAGCTGGCCTGCTTTGCCAAGACCCCATTTTTTGGCCTTTCTCATTCCCTAGGCGATGGATTTTTCTAGGCCCCTCCTGCAGGAATGAAACCAATGGAGTTCATTTTTTGTTGTTGTCGTTCCCAGCTTGGAATTGTTCACCTCTGTGGTGGGTTCAAGAGAGGCCTTCCAGAGGTCTGACGTGGCTGTGGGGCCGGCTCCAGGCCCCTGCGGTGCACACCCCGCGCTTGAGCCCCTGGTGGGGACTGTGCCTCGAGCTCCTCAGGCAGGGTATCCTGAGTGTCTTGATTTTTATTTACTTATTAGAAAAATATTACATATTTGAGGTCCCTAAGGAAGAGGCTCAAATGGCCAGTCTTCTTGGATTGTTACATTAAAAAGAAAAATGTACATTATAAAAGCAATATATGCCAATAAAGAAATCCATAAAAGTAGAAAAAAGAAAAATGGCCAGAATCTATTGTCCAGAACAAGTCATGGTTTTTAGGGGTGTTACGGGGTAATTTTGGGGTGTTACCTTCTAGTTCTTTTTCCCTGTCTGTGGTCATGACAAGTATCCCCAAGGAGCAATGCTTACTCTCTCCCACGTACACGGACCTCAGAATCAACACGCTCTGCTCTGCTCTGCCTGGAAGCACAGAGGTCTACCGGGAAGTAAGCTTTATCCTTGGCCTTTTGCAAAAGGCCGAATTTTATTTGTCTTTTAATATCTACAGTTCGGCATACGCCTCTATGCAAAGGTTGGCGCTGCCTCCAGAATTCAGGTTTCAGGGGAGCAGAGTGCTCCTGATATCGGGGTCCTGGGTAGAAGTTCAGAAGTGTGCAGGCAGCCATGGTGCTCCTCACTCCCCAACCCCAGGATCACAACATAGCAGGGACCGACCCCCCAAATATACAACTTGAAGGGAATTTGGGTATGAGTTGAATTTGGATAAGCCAAAAGAAGTAAGAAGTGAGTCCATCACACGAGTCCTTAAATGTCCAACTAAAGAGGTTCACCTCTATTTTGAAGGCAAAATCAGGCCCCTGAAAGGCTGTGTGGGTTGGTGTGCATTCTAGAAGACCCCATCAATCCCAGGACCCTGGGATATGGATGGGACTGTTGTTTGATACCCAGCCCAGCAACTGAAAGGAGTTTCAGAGGAGGGCCCGGAGAGATCTCTGGAGAACACAACGATTTTGAGGGGGCGGGGGCGGTGAGAGTACCTAGAAGGCTGAAAAGGCCTGCTTAGAGGGGATCCTGTTCTGTAAAAGCTCTCAGTATAGTTTTGAGAGGAGAGCGCATTGATCCACACCCGGGAGACGGATAGAGAAGGACCTTGTCCTCCGTTCCTGGCTGAATCTTAGGACGGTTGTACACTTGCCCACAAGTATGTACATGTGGATAGGAGGCCGCTCACATGGCTTTTGAGGGTTCCCAAGTATGAATTAAAAAAAGAAGAAAAATGTGTGCTTTGAATTAGATCTACGTGAGGAAGAAAAAAAAAAAAAAGGCAGCAGGCTAAGCCTGCGTCTGGGACATGGCTTTCCTCCAGGGCCCTTCAGGAGAGTTGGGTTTTCAGCATGTACAGAAAAGACAGTGAGCCGTTCCTCAGGCCTGCTTAGAGGGGATCCTGTTCTGTAAAAGCTCTCAGTATAGTTTTGAGAGGAGAGCGCATTGATCCACACCCGGGAGACGGATAGAGAAGGACCTTGTCCTCCGTTCCTGGCTGAATCTTAGGACGGTTGTACACTTGCCCACAAGTATGTACATGTGGATAGGAGGCCGCTCACATGGCTTTTGAGGGTTCCCAAGTATGAATTAAAAAAAGAAGAAAAATGTGTGCTTTGAATTAGATCTACGTGAGGAAGAAAAAAAAAAAAAAGGCAGCAGGCTAAGCCATGCGTCTGGGACATGGCTTTCCTCCAGGGCCCTTCAGGAGAGTTGGGTTTCAGCATGTACAGAAAAGACAGTGAGCCGTTCCTCAACCTGGATTTCCTCGTCTGTTCTGCCCTATAGATATGAATCTGAGCCCTCCAAGGTCTTTTTCGAGCGAGGAAAGCATGCCCGATACCGCTCGCATGGAGGAACCGTTGGGATCCAGAGATTACCATAGATTGGCTCTTTTAAGTTATTTCTTCCATTGCTTTGGACCAATAAATATTTTAAAAGTTAGGTTCTGAGCTTGAGAAAAGCCAACAAAAACATTTAAACATATGGATTTCTTATTTTTTTAAATTTTTTTTGTAGTGTGGTTAAACCACACTCAGCAAGATCCGTTTACAGCAGCCTTTTTCTTTTTCTATCTTTTTCTTTCTTTCTTCCTTTCTTTTAGGGAGCCAGAAGAATACACATGTTGCCATGGAGTTCTGTTTAAAATAAAATACAATGGAAAGAAAAGCAGCGTGATGAAGTAACCACATGGGCTGCAGGGCACACCTGATACTAATTACTGTCAGGCACAATGTTCTGGAAGACATTTGACTCGCCTGATGTATACATTCAAATCAAGCAAAGCAGGGCTGCAAGGCTCCTTGGGGACCATCTTGTCCAACTCTTTCTTTTTTCCAGATGAGGACATAGGGGGCCCTGGGAGAAGGGCTTGGACCCCAGCCTCCCAGATCGGAGGGGGCAGCGCTGGGACGCACACCCGCCCCACTTTTGTCAGAAACACATCATTTCCAGGGTCCTTTGCCTTGGCCTGTCAGTTAAGACCCTGAAAAAGAGGAGCAGGGTTTACTGTGAACCTCAGAGCAGCAGGCGAGGAGCCAGGGAGCCCAGGAAAAAAAAAAAAAAAAAGCAAGAGAGGCTGACTTGGCGCTGGGAGGCCCCGCTCCCCTCGTGGGGCCCAGCCTGTTGGAGAGAGATGCGCATTGCATGTCTGGAGTTTCTCCTTCCACTGGGCCTCCCTGAGGCACCCCAACCCAGGCCGGGGGCTCCTGCCAGAGTGTCAGCTCATGATCTCTGGGGCTGCAGAACTCATGCCAGGAGGCACTGTCTCTAAGACAGACTCCAGGGACCCCCGAGTGCGTGACGATGGACGCTCTCTGGTGGCTGCCTGGGCTCCCACACTGGCCTCCCACGCGTGGAGGGCGAGCTGGAGCCCCCGTGACAATGCAAGCCCCTCTCCTCTGCCCGGGAAGGCTAGCAACTCGGCCTGTTGGCGTCTGATTGGCCGAGCAGGCCTGACGACAGGGGCTCCTGGCCGCTGATTGGCCCGGGCCGCTCGGGCTGTTTCCTAGCTATTAATACCGTGGCTAATAAACGTTCTCCTGTTGACGGGGATGCTCGGAGCCATGATTTTTTGAAGCTTTCTTGACGTCTGTGGTTGGCGCGGGCCTTCCTGTTGGGGGGGCTCTCGTCTCCGAGGCGCCTTGCACGTCCCCCAAGCTACCAGTGGGGTGTCCTTGCCTCCCTCCCATGATCTGACACGTTAGGGCGGCTCCCCGCCGTGAACCCCCAAAGCCCACTTTGTCCTCGGCGCCCGTGGATCTACCCACGAGCCCGGCGCCCAAGGCGCGGGGTGTCTCCGCGGCCTGGTGGCCCATGGTCACCTCCCCGTCACTAGCCGTGGCCTCTACAAAGAGCCCTGTCCCTTTGTCTCTGCCCCAGGACACCCCGTCTGTGCTACAGCCGCCTCGAAGGACCGCGGGGCCCGGGGCGGGGGGTGGGGGCGCTCTCGGAAGCTGCTCCCCCCCACCTCCCGCAGAAAGGGCGGGGGGCGCTGTTCCAACCCGATCCCCCGCGGGGCCCCGCTCCCTTGCCCCTTGGGGACCCATCACTCATGCTCACCCCTCTCCTGTCACCAGGCGCTTCATCCGCGCCCTCCCGGCTGGCACCCACCTGTCACCCTAAGATAGATCCTTAGTCCCTTTCAACAGCGTGTTGACCTTTGCGGGAGGACATTTGATTGACGGCCCTGCCCGCTCTGCCCCTCGGTGCCCGGCCGAGCTGCCGAGAGCGCCACCTGTTAGGGATCGGATCCCGGGGGCCCGGGCCGGCTCTGCGGCAACATGTGTCACTGCCCGTCTCCCCGGGGCGCTGCAGGGGAGTGGGGGGCTGCTTTCCAAAGTGAACGTGTGGGCAAAGCACCTCCATTTTTTTGGGGGGGGTACCCCATTCACCTCCAGGTGGGACACAGACCTCGAAAAGTCCTGTCCCTAGAGGGACAAAGCTCAGGCGTAGGTTCCTATCACAATCCCGTTAGGGGGTACCGCCTTGTTAACGTGGAGAAACGGGCCCCCTAGCAGAGGAGGGGGTACTGCAGCTTCTGGGTACACGGGTTGTAAAAAGCAGCAGAGCCTGGACTCAAAACCCGTTTTTTTTGTGTGTTTTTTTTCTCGTTTATTTTTTTATTTTATTTTTCGGAGTCGAAGGTGCTGTGTGCCTAGTCTCCCGTGCCAAAGGGAACCGATCAGAAATGGGCGGGTGGGCTGACAGGGGGTGACAGGCGCCGATTTACGGTTGGGAATCGGTTATCTTGCCCGGGATGTGATTTTCCAGGACAATACGCAGACAGCATCCTTTTCTCTCCCTAAGATGCCTCCTCGAATAGAGGTTCCGAAAAAGCCAGGTGCGTGACCGAGCACCCCTGGAGCCCCGCTCTACCCTCGGCCCACCCGCGAAAAAACACCCCTGGTCCCCTTCTCTCAGAAGACGGTGCACACAAATGGCCCGGGTGGCGAGCGGGGCTCGTGGAGGGAAAAAACACCCGTGAGCACTGGGTGTTGGTCATGGCGGCGAGGGGCACTGCGGCAGAATTTTTTCCTCCCTTCTTTGCTGCAATCTGGGTGCGGCTAGAGCAATTTGTCATAGAATCTGGGGGGCTCATTTTTCCAGCCAATCACTTTTGGAGAAATGAGCGCATTGCAGCAGAATGCGCTGACGTCAGAGACCACCCCTTCTGCGCCTCCATATAAACCCCACCCAGCCAGCCCCTAGCGCAGACGGCGACGAGCTGGATGGAGCGCGCCTTGGCTTGCTGGCCTGGGCCGCAGCTCCTCCGAAGAACCGGGGCGCCCACGCGAGAATCTCCCCGCCAGGTGAGTCGTTGGCCATCCTTGGCGGAAAGGATGTGCAAAATAAAGGCTACACCCTCGTCCGGGTCGGCCGCTGTCCTCCTGGACATGCTGAAGGACAACCGCCGGGACCTTCTCTGAAAGGTGGCCACCTCGCCTGGTCCCAAGCATCGGCAACAAAATGCTGTCAGGAAGGAAAATCTCGAGGCACATTTTTTTTTGGGGGGGGGATCAGGGCCCCATTTTCGTCCAGTTCATGAGAGTAGGGAGGGTGGTGGGGGCTTAAATGAAGAGGAGTGGGAGGAATCGGCCCCAAACCCATGTCGGAATCCCGTGTCCCGTAGTCACTGGGGTCCAAAGCCCCGATTTTCTGTGTTTAAAGCTACCTTTCGAACCACAAATGGTGGGAGATATGGCGGCCGACGCCTTCTGCATGCCCCGCGGATTAGGGGGGAAAAGCACCCGAAGAGAAAGGTCTCCTGGGCATAGTCCTCCCACCCCCCAGGTTCTGGTGAGCACGTTGGTGGCCTGTGGGCGTGAGGAGTAGAGGTTCTTACCCGCCAGGGATTCCCGAGGCAAGCACACAGATTGAGTGCAGAGCCCGCTTTAGTGAAAAACGAAGAGTAAAATTTCTAACCGATATCATCTGGGTTCACTCGGATAAACCTCCTTGTTAACGGTGGAGAGAGATGGCGCCCAAGTGCAAACCTGCCAGAAGCCCCCCACGATCAGTTCTGTAGGAAGGGCGGACGGAGGGAGGGCCCAGTAATTGGGGGTCCTGGCAGAGGAGAAAAGGGGGGTGGATTGGCGTGGAGAGAAGGCTGTGTCTGGGAAGCAAGAGGGAAGAGAGGAAAAAGCAGAAAAGGGGGTGTGTTTGGGAGGTCTGGGCGCCGTGAGCTGGGAATTGGGAGTCGGAGGGTCCTTTCAGCATTGCGTGATGGTCTCTGGAAGATTCTGACATGTTGCGGGCTTTTGATTTTTGATAAAGTCGCCGTTTGCCATTTCCTTTGTCCCTGTCAAGCCCCCCCATACCACCCCCTCCCCACTCAGGGATGGCGGGCTGTGTGTGTGTGTGTGTGAGTGTGAGTGTGTGCGCGCGCGCGCGCGTGCGTGTGCGTGTGTGGGGGGGCGCTAGCGGGTTGCTACGTGGCAGGTTTCTGGAATGTTTTCTTGATGGCCGCCAGAGGGCGCTGGTGGCACTGCGGAATTTTGGGGGGCGGGGTGGGGAGGGGAGGTGGCCTTTGTTCTTCTGCTGGAGGGGGTCAGGCGTGAGATTTACTGGAGAATTCTGTATTGATTACCCAAGTGGGGAATGTTTTAAGATCCCTAGGTTCACTGGGGAACGGCTGCAGGGTTCGCGCTGGGCGGAGATGCCCTGATCCACACTGGTTGCGTGACTTGGGGGTCGTGGAAATGCGTGGACGCGGATTAGTTTATTTCATTTGGTTTTCGGTTTGAGGATCTCAGGAAGGTGTGGCTCATTTGAGCAGGATGAAGAGGCCATGCAGTAGTCAATTAGGCGCCATCATGCGGGGTCTTGGAATTCTTGCTGTGGAGAAGGGAGGGAGGCTAGATTGGGGCGGGGGGGGCGGGGGGCAATGGTGGTTTGGATGAGTTGCGGTGGTTTTGGCCGCCTTTATATTATTTTGTAGAATACCATATTTTGTATCATGTGTCCAGAGACCACTGAAATGAGTGAAAGTGTTGTATTGAGAACCGGATCTTTTACGTTTTAATTTGTTTAATTGGACTTACCGAAGGTCGGGGCCAAGCTTTCTGTGTTTTTACTTATTAAAAGTGGAATCATGTTCTGGAAAGACCCTTATGGCGAGTGTTTTCTTGATATCCTCATATCTCTTTGGTGACCCCCACTGTTGCGAGACACAGAAGGCCCTCTCGGCGGTTGCGTGGGGGTGCTGCCGCATGTCCACAGGTGGATTCTGGCTGGTGATGGAGTGCCTGCATTTTGGTGGACTTAGTGGTCTTGTGTGATGAGCTGGGGTGGGCTGTGCCCACCCTCATAGCCTGAGACCTGTTGGGCGCTCTCCCGCCCATCCTATGCCAGCTGTTGCCCTGGCAGCTGCGGGCCAGGCACGGGAGGGGCGAGAGGCGCCCTCCGCAGGTGGCTGTGCTCTTGGGCTCTGGAGCTGACTGTGCGCCCCCTAGCGGTCTGTGCCTTTAAATGTTCTCAGCCCGCCAAATCCGGCTTGAGTTTGCGCATGCGCACAGTTAACACTTGTGTCCTGTCAATCAAGTCCTCCTTACCCCCTCCCACTTCTCTCCCTCCTCCCCTTCCACTTCTCTCCCTCCTCCCCTCCCATTTCTGCTCTCCCTCCTCCCCCTCCTATTTCTCCCATCTCTGACCCCTCCCATTTCTCTCCTTCCCCTCCCCTCCCGTTTCCCTCATCCCCCCCTTTACCCCCTCCTCTTTCTGATTCCTTCCTCCCTCTGTACCCCTCCCTCTTCCCTCCTCACCCCTCCCTCTTCTCTCCTCACCCCTCCCTCTTCCCTCCTCACCCCTCCCACTTCCCTCCTCACCCCTCCCTCCTTTCTCTTCCACTCCCCCCTCCTTTCCCTCTGACTGCCCCCTCCCTCTCTCTGCTGTTCCTGCGCTGGCCATTAGAGGTCATCAAGATGGTTTCTAATATGGCCCCCTCCCATGCTATAGGTTCTCTCTTCAGGGATGACATCACCATTCACCTCCTTGTCTTCAAGGACCACCTGTCGATGCCCAGCTGCTGCCAAGGTGCTTGCTGCTCATCTTCACCTTATGGTATGCAACCCCTCCTTGTGGTGGTTTATGTACAACATGGCGGCCAAATCCACCCCTGCCACACTCCTCCCACTACCCCCAGACCCATGAGCAATTAAAGGACAATTTTAAATTTTAACTAATTAGTTTTAGTTATAATTAACTCATTTAAATTTTAATTAGTACCTAGAATTGGGTTTTTAAGTGGTTTCTTTAACCTTTGATCAATTGCAGAAGACCTCAGGAGCGCCCATTTTTGGATCCCACCCGCATACCAAGCAGCCACTGGCAGAGACCCCCCAGGACCAGGACCACGGAGGCTGAAGAGGACCAGAACTGACCAACCAGCTGTTCCTCTTGGCTAAAGACTTAATCCAATGCCCTAGTGAGGGGGCATTGGACATTAACCCCTGACCTTTGCTATGCTTGTGCCTATTGCTATGAATACTTTCCTGTAAGTCTCTGCTTGTGTTAATATGCCAGCGACCTGGAGTGTTTCCCTCCCCAAGAAGGTGTCAGTTTTTCTCAGCTGACCCTATTGTTGCCCGGATGATGTCCTGAATAGAAGGATCCCTTTGGGAACTTCTCAGGAGGGGGACCTGGGCCAAGGGCTCCGCCAGCATCTCACTGGCAATTCCAAAGCCGTGGTGGGCTTCTGGAATGAGCATGAGCCCTGACGTCATGGGCATCCCCGTCCTTTCCGGGGAATGGTGATGAGAAGAGCAACCTCCTAGGGTTGTTGTGAGTATTAAATGAGCCAAATTAGCCTGGGGCAGGGCTGGGCACAGAGGAGGTGTTCCGCAAACATTTGTTGAAAGTTTGATAGGTCAGTCCATCCCCATCCGTGTCACTTGTCTGATGCCTCTTGTTTATTTTCCCACAGCTCTCCGACAGCCCCTGTCCACGGGGCTCTCCTGCACAGGTAGGGCGCCACCAAGAAGGGTGATGGGCTGACTTGAATAGGAACATCAATTATGCATGCAGTCATTTCCAGAGCACTTTCTATGATCTTTGACTATGTTATTTCTATGTCAGACATATAGGTGATGATCATTTACAGATAAGAATGAATTTGGCCTTGACTTGGGTAATTTTATAAAGGTGGGTGGGGATTGAATGGCCCTTCTATGGGACAGGATTTATTCACATTTACAGTGAGGGCACTGAGGCTGGAGGAGCGTAAGTATTTTGTCATAACTGCTGGCAAGACGAGGGGTCAGAGTTGGACCCTGGGTGACATTGTAGCTACCTCTTACCCCCCTGGCCCAGAGTTAGACTCAGAGCTCTTGATTTCTAATCAAGCATTTGACAGCAGGACCGTCTGAAATCCTAACTGCCTAGGGTGGCCTTGGGGGTCTGGGTGGCCCCAATGCTGCTACCATGTGCTGGCTCCACCTCAATAATGGTGTGACCTTACACAAGTCGCTTAACTTCTCCAGGTCTCAGTTCCTTTCATGGTCTAAATGAGGATTAAAAATAAAAAAAACCCACCCGCCTTTATCTACCCCACACGGTGCTTTTGAAGACCAAATGATGTAACTACTAGGAAAGTGCTTTGCAAATTGCTGTGGAAATTGCAAGGTCCTTAACACTGATTGTTCGCATGCCCAGCCCTAGTAATTGGGCTAGCACCCAGTAGGTGCTGTGAGTGTGTGCGCTCAATAAATAAATTTCAAAATGAATAAAAACAGAATTAATTCAACAAACCTTTTCTGAACACCGACAATATGCCCAGCACACCAGGCCTGGTACGTGACACAAAGATGATGCAAACAGTCTCTTGGAAGCTAATTGGGGTCCTCATTTGACCAGCACTTTTTTTTCGTCCCCTTTTAAGCCAAGCAGTTTTGTCCAGACAAGACAAAAACAGCTCAGGCCGCTTTGAGAAGCCCAGCTTGGTGTAGACAATAGCTCCCGGGCCTCTGAAAGGGCCTGATTGGATTATATGGCAAATGAAGGTGGAAGGGTGACTTGGAAGGTGACGAATGAAGTGGGCGGAGATCTGCTTTGAGTTAATCCAGGCTATTAGGAGGGAACCTTTTGTCTTCCAGAGGCTTTTGCCACTGCTTTTTACATCCTTAATGTAAGGACGCATAATTTATGGTCAGTGAAATCCAGGCCCCAGTGAGATTTGAGTGGGCTGTAAACTCAGGCCTCCCACTACCAGCGAGTAAATACAGTGAACGCTAAGTCTCCCTTTGCCGTTTGCAAAGGCCTTTTTGCAATTGTCAATTCATTTGAACCTCACAACTCCCTGTCCCGACCCGGGGCTGGCCTACCGCCTCCCAGGGGATCCGAGGCTGTCAAGGGGCCCTTCAGATTGGGGTCCACACACATTTGCACCCCCCTTGCGTTGTAAAGGAAGAGGTGTCCTCTGCACTGGTCATTCCTGTCTCACCTCCAGCTTCCAGTTACCTCCCCCGTCTTCCTAACTGCTCTCTCCGCAGCCTGAGCCTCCGGCTCCTCCTGTCCTCCTGTCTGGCCACTACCATCTCTCTCTTTCCTTTCGCAGCCACGCTTCTCCAAAGGCCTGTCTCCACTTGCTGTCTTCCTTCCTCACCTCCAATTTCCTCTTCAACCCACTGCTTCCTGTCTTCTCTACTCCGTCGAGCGGCTTTCACTAAGGTAATGACTTTTCTGTAGCTTAAACCTGGGTAGTTTCCAGCTCATGGACACACGGACACATTTCCAGTCTTTTTCTCATGTGGCTCTTGGGCCCTGGTTCACACCTATTGACACACACTCCCTCTAGAATCCACAGGGACACCTGCCCCAGCATCCCTTCTCGTAGGACCTCACGTAGCCAGAGCTCCCAACTTCTGGACCTTGCCTTTCACCATCCCTCCTTGGAGTTGAGTCCTGGCTTGACCCACCTAGTGCTGAGGCCCTAAGTTAGGTCAGTTTCTCCAAGCCACTTCTTTCTCAGTCGCAAAATAGGATTAATAATGTTCACCTGGCAGGTCTGGCGAACTACCTTGCAGGTAAGAACCAGACACTATTTGAGGGACTTGAAATAAGGTCGTTAAAGTATTCGTGAGAAAATTCAATTAGAGTCACCAACAGATTTTCTTACAGGTAAAGTTCCCACGGGGAGGGCCATAGAGAGAAGAAAGAAGTGGGGGGGAGGGGGGAGGGAGAGGTGGGAGAGAAAGAAAAGAATGAGAAAAGGCACCAAAGACAATAAAGTAGGGAAGGGGACTTAGAAAATATTAACATCGGCGGAAAACACATCTAGGGAAAAGTTTCCTCTAGTGTCGGGTTGGGCTAAAATAAACAGGAAACAGGCTTTAAATTAATGATCCAAGTGACAAGTCCCAGGAAGCTTTCAAATCAAATTGCCCCGTTTTGGGATTTTAACTCCTATCAAGTTTAACCTCTTTACCGCCTTCATCCTGGTTAAACTCTCCCTGGCCCCTTGGCTGGTGATTAAGTCCTGAAGGTACACATAGTCTTTCAATGAATGAATGGCCAACAGAAAGCCCTTCCCCTCCCCCCAGCTGTGTTTTTCAGTTTCCTTGCACTTTCCGCCCTTTTCCCTTAATGAACACAGGGCTAGTCTTGGACCTTGTCAAGGAAGAGGCTGCAGACGCTAATGAGGGAGCTGCTGGGCTCCAGTGTTCCTCTCATAAGGAGCCTTCTTTGTCTGTGAAGGAAAAACACACTGATTATCATAATGAGGTGAACTGCCGTCTGCAGGGCAGAGGCGATGGTCCCAAGGCCACACTTGTAATTTCGGGGCCGGGGCCCAGGGTTCCTTTGCTCCTCGTTTCAGCCTTGGCGAGGCCCATTGAGTGGGGCTGAACGTGGAAGGCGGCTTTGGGGAGAGGGTTGCTTTGCAGAAGTTTCCTTTGTTGGGCCCGGCGGGCAGCTGCACTGGGCCAGGGGCTGCCTGCCTGTGGGATTCACTCACAGATGAGGACATGGGGTGCAGGGCTCCCACTCCAGCATGCACCTCATTGTTTCAGCATCCACCCGACATGAAAAGCATGCCACCTCACAGGTGTAGGTGTAGGGCCCGGGGGATTATCACAAAGGCACCCCCCCCCCAAAGGGCATGGTTTGGGGTTCACGCTTTGGTCCCGCATTCTGAGGAGAGTGAGGTTCAGAGCACCAGAGGATTGCCAAGGGGACTTTACAATAGATCTTGCATCAGAACATGTCCTATCCCCTCTCATACGGCCTGCTTCCCACCTGAACCCCCTTCTATCCTGATACTTGAACTCCCCCTTGCCCGTTAATGTCAGCAGGTCTGGCCAGAGCCTGAAACTTGCCCTGTGTGTCTCCAGTTCTGGACATTTCCCACCCCGAGGTAGATCAATCAGTTAAATTAGGTTATTTTAATTACACTTCAGGCTCTGGCCAGACCTGCAGCCAAATGGAAAAAAACTAAGAGGGAAGCGCGGTGCTTGGGAGCGAGAAAACTTGATTAGTAGGAAATTTACGCCTCTCCCTTCACTTACCTGTCAGCTGAAGGCCCGAATCAGAGTTCTGCCCTCTTCCCAAGTTAGCAAAACCAGCTCTCATCTGTCTCCCCAATAAAAAGGTTGAAGGCCCTACCTTAGAGGTGACCCAGATGTTGCCCAGATGAGGGGACTGGAGTGGAAAGGAATAGAACAATTTCTGGTGTTTCTAAATGAGAGGATGCATTTTAATAGGGGAAAAAAAAAATCCAGAGAACCCTTCTCACCTCAAATTCATACTGATAATTAAAATACAAGCCCAAGGTCACCGGTATTTCAGCATTTGAGCACCTGAGGAGGGGTGGAAGGCATTAGTTGGCCAGGATCTTGGGGGTTTGTGTTATTCCTGGAGCCCCAACTGCCTGGCCCTAGGGCAGTGATGGTGAACCTTTTGAGCTCGGCGTGTCAGCATTTTGAAAAACCCTAACTTAACTCTGGTGCCGTGTCACATATAGAAATTTTTCGATATTTGCAACCATAGTAAAACAAAGATTTATATTTTTGATATTTGTTTTATATATTTAAATGCCATTTAACAAAGAAAAATCAACCCAAAAAATGAGTTCGCGTGTCACCTCTGACACGCCTGTCATAGGTTCGCCATCACTGCCCTAGGGGAACTGGCTCCCACATCCCCGCCTGCTTGGGTTTCTGGGCCCACTGGTCTCTAGCTTTTCTGTGTTCACCAGCAGAGGGGTCTGAGCTCATGGCTCCCTTAGGGGTGGCACCTGCTTGTGCACTTGTTCACGTGGGACCCTGTGTCCCACTCTTCCAGCTCAGAGGTCTTGGGTGACTTCCTGGGTTGACCCCTGACCTCCAGAGCCCACGCTTCTCCACATCCATCCTTAAGTCAACCTTGGAGGCTCCGGTGATGGAGGAGGAGGCTGTAGCCAGGTGGGATCCTAGAGGATGAGTAGGACCCAGAGATGCTCCCCTTTCTCCAGCTATTCTGAATTCCGGTTTCCTGTTTTTGCTCGTTCCCACCTCTGTTCTTCATGCTACCTTCTCTCCTCCCTCACCCCTCCATTGCCACTTCCTAACCCAGTGTTCTGGGGGTGCCCTAGGCCAGCCCACACCTCCTTTGGGTGTCCCAGCACCAGCTTGGCACACGTGGGGCTCAGTAAAAGTATGTGGGATGTTTGTTTGTTTGGGCAGGTGAGTCAACGAAGGACCTCGGCTGCTAGAGGAGTTGTTGGGACGCTAGGAGTTACATGTAGGTCAAAAGGATAGAGAGTGGATTTCAATTTAGGGAGGGGTGGGCACCCCCACTTGAGCAGGGGCCTTGCCGGTCTCGCCCCTTCATTCACTCACGCGGCCAACCTTCATCCAACAGTTGATCATTACTGAGCTAGCCCATAGCCCGGCCCGGCCTGAGCACCCGCCACACTAGCCGGTCCCTTGATGGCCTCTGCCCTCGGGAGAGCGGGCCGGGGGGTGTCGTTGCCGAGGGCGGCCTGGCCTCCCAGCACTGGCGCAGCGACTGCTCTGTAGAAGGCAGGACAGCGGGACTGTGCGAGGGGCTGGCCTGGTTTGCCTTTGGGCCAGTTGGCCGGTGACCTTTACGTAGCCAGCCTCTCCTGCCCTCTCTGCCTCCCCGACTCAGCCCAGAGCTGAATGCACCCCGGAATGTGGTATGTGTACCCTCGGGCTCTGGCCACATGGTCTCCCTCTTGAGTTGGGGGTCCGTGAGCTGGACCCCTCCCTCCATGATACCTGCCTCCCGCCTGGGGCTAAATCTAGCTCCTTTCTTTGGCTGGAGACTGTCCTATGCAAAGGACAGGTGGCTGGGAACCTCCAGGGAGCTCTGTAGGCTCTGCCTCCGCTTGGCTGCCTACCTGTCTGCTCTACCTGGCGGCTCCTCCCCTGGTCTGTTGCCCACTAGGAGCTCTGCTTTCCCTCTTCTCTGTGCCCGGCTCACCTGGCTTATGACCCCGTGGGCCTCAGCTGCCAGCCTGCTGTCTTAACTGCCCCTGCTGCTTCGTCACCCACCTTTCACCTGCTTCCTCTGGCCCTGCTGCTAGGTCCAGACACCCCACAGCCCAAGGAGCCATTTCTCCATCCTGCTGCCCAGGTTGCCAACAGGCCCCCAGTGCCTATGGGACAAGCCCCTGCTGGCATGCTACCTCCCGCAAACATCCTCTAATGCCTACTCCCATTTGCCTGGCTTCCCAGGGTCTGCGTGACCTTCGGTCCTGCCTCCTTCCCTCACAGATCCCTTGTTGTACCCAAGCAGGTAATCCCATGGCCTGCCCCGCCCCTGTGAGTCCCCGGCCCTGCTCACCCCGCGTCACCCCAGGTCTCCAGTTGGTTTGGGAGCTGCCACCCAGGCCTTCGGCTTTTCCCATCACTGCTCATTCCCATGAGCCACCTCCCTCCACCGAAAACCAGGCTTCTGGTGAGACGGCTCTGCCTTTTCTTAGAATGTGGCTTTTCTGGGGTGCTGGCCTCGCTGTATTCTAACTTTCTGTTCCTCCCCAAGGTTGACCCGGGGCCGGGTCAGCTGAAGAACTGACGGAAGAGGCAGAAGAGCCCCGGGAGGACACCGCCCTGGACCAAGCCCTCCTTCCCAACCCCGCGCCCAGCTTCTCGCCTCCGTCTGGTTTGGGGTGAGTGTTTTGCTTTCTTGAAACACCAAGATTTCCTTAACACATTGCATACCGCATAGAAATCTCTAAGACATACGCCAGGGACCGCACGTTTTGGGGCAAACTGCACGTTATTTACATCATCATAATGCACTTTAGGTGTTGTTCTTCAATAATTATAACATTTTTATTTAACACATTGCGTACCGCATAGAAATCTCTAAGACATACGCCAGGGACCGCACGTTTTTGGGCAAACTGCACGTTATTTAAATCATCATAATGCACTTTAGGTGTTGTTTTTCAATAATTATAACATTTTTATTTACAAAAACAATTAAACAATTAAAGTTCCTAGTACTTTTTTAACGTATGGTACTGCGTAAAACATTTTCCTCTATGAAGAGGGACCAAACAAAATTTACATAAGTATCTAGATTCGCTCCTTTTTCCATGGGCGTGAAAAACAAGAACACGCGTGAGCGGTCCTTACAGATGGCGCGCGAAACACGAGAAGACTCCTGAGCGGTACGCAATGTGTTAAGTCCACCTCACATTCAAGAATGTACACATTTAGCTTGGGGGGATCACTACCTTCTACTCCAACTCGGGGCCTGGGAATCTGGCTGCTGCCTGGAGCCCCACCAAGCCAGCGTGTGATGGGGCCACTTGGTTGACCGGATGCTGTATGCCCCCCCGTCCCCCCATACGGTAAGTGAGGAGCGTCGAACTCTGGTCTGGGCCCCGAGAACCGGCTTGGGTCAGGCACATCATAGGTCCTCAACAAAGCTTCACTGAGCATTTCATGAGATGAATGAGGGTGCACTGCTCTCTCTAGCACCCCCCACTTGTGGAGACGTGGCAGTAGGAATGCCTGTCTGCTCCGCAGCTCGAAAAACATTTCTGCCCCAAGCCATGGCAACGTCAGTCCCTGAGAGAATGCGGGCTCCTCGCACACGAGGCTTTGATAATGTCCTTTAATCAAATAGTGGTTTTGAGTGAGTTCTCCTCTCGGCCTCTTTTCCTTCCCCCTGAAATTGCAGCGAGACGGGAATGTTTGTGTTTGTTTACACACAATCAGTGATGGTGGGGAGGAAGAAGAAAGCGGGGTGGCAGCCACACACCAGCCCAGGCGTCACCCGTCTCTCCGCGGTTCCCTCGTTCACGCCGCCTGGGCGCTCAGGGTGGGGGTCCTTCTGCGGTGCCGGAGCCCAGGTTTGCCTGCAGGCCCAGAGGGTCCACTTGGGTGTCCTGGGAGGCCCCACGCAGCGACGGGGACAGCTAAGCAAGGTGACAGGAAGAGAAGAGGCTTTGCTGCCAGCACCCTCCTTTCTGGGGTCCCGGTGGCCGAGTTCAGGAAAGGGTGAAGCCTGAGTCCCGTGGAGGGACACGGGGGGTTTTCGGAGGTGGCAGCCCAGTGGGGGTGTCCTGGTGAGCGGCTGGCCCTGTGCCTGGCCAGCCTCTCCTCTGCTGCTCCCGGGGAGCTGCTGGGTGAACGGTGAGCGCAGACTGCCAGGCGTCCAGCCAGGAGGTGAGGGAGACCTGTAGGCCAGGGCGAATCTGATTCAGTCCCCCAGATGCCTCGGGGTCCCACGCAGCACCCACAATGCTTTTGAGGGCATTTGCAGGGCAGCTCCTTCACAGCCCCGCCTCCTCCCCGAAATGGAACCGGGGTGCGGATATTGCAATAAAACACATCGGTGCAGGCAGAGAGGGGCGAGGGACGCGGACCCGGGCAGTGCTGCCTGTGTGTGTGCTTGTTCTCGCTCCGGGGGGAGCCCGGCAGGCTGGAGAGAGGTGGGGTGTGTGTGCCCAGGGCTAAGCCCAGGGAGGGGCCCCAGGAAGATGGTGCCCGGTGATATTTACTCCACAGCTGGCATTTGCCAAGCCACCTGCAAACACGGTGCCGAGGAAGACAGGCGGGGGCGGGAACTTTACACAGAACTCCTGGGGGGCTCGATCCGGAGCTTCCCGGAGAGGTCCGTGAAGCTAGCCTGAGGCAAATGCCCAGGGCTTCTAGACTCCTCCTTAGGGCCATCTCAGCACTCCCTCACGGCGGGCTGAGCTGAGGGGCAGAGTCAAGGTGAAAGCAAGTGCCCAGCCAGTTCCAGACTTTGCCCCTCACCCTGCTCAGTCGTTTGGGGTGGCCGGGCTTTGGGCCGAGCTGTATTTCAGGTACACTTGTGAATGGTCAATTCCAGGCAAATACACGTGTTGGGGTTCGTGTGGCATAAGCCATTATCAAATAGATAATAACAGATCAAATTCTCAATGAAAGAAGTTGAATGTATCATAAATCAGCCTTGCATCCCAGTCATCCCAGGAATGGCAGGAGGGCTGTTGTTAAGTGTCAAAAATATTTTCAGGAAAATTCTTTTCTGGTGCAGCGGTCCGTCCTTGAGCAGTAAGGGGTAGAAATGAGACCCGGAACAGCCAGAGGACTCTGTCGTGGTGGTGGGTGGCGGTTTGCTGGCCATTTTGTCCTTATACTCAGCTGTTCCCCGGGGTCTGCTTCTACCTGGATGCTTCCGGATGGGCACCGATGTCGGGGAAGAGGCGGTGGCCTTGTCTGGAAGCTGGCCCTCCCGCCCCGCCTGCCTCCCCAGGGGCAAGGGAGAGGGGCCGTGTGTCCCTCAGCCGCTGTACTCGTGGGGAGGGAGAAGGTGCTCCCTCTTGGCACCCCCCAGTTTGCCCACCTGCAGCCTCCAGGGTCCCTGCCCTTGTGCCTCCTGACTCGTGATTCAAACCCCAAATGTCTTTCCAAGCACATTTCTCCAAGTAATGTCGAAGCCTGGCAAGGACCAGGGCAGCGCGATGCATGTGTTTCTCATTCATTCATTTACATGCAGAAACCTAGCCGTGTTTTTATGTGCAATCTGATGTCCAGAAAGAAAAGGAGAATCTGTCCATCTCTAATGAGCTTGCTAATGAATTTTTCCTTGAAAAGAGGAAGGCGGCTTTACACAGAATTTACACAATTTTTCCTTGAAAAAAAAAAAGGGGGAAGGTGGCTTTACACAGGAACGACCCAAATTAAGGTCCCACAGGGTTACAGGGCCGTGGCCAGTGTAGAAACCAGCAGCGTCGGCTCAGTGTCTCGGAGTCAGGAAAGGTGCGAAGGGAGGGAGCCCTCGACAGTACCCTCCTGGGTACCCGGGCACTGCAGTAGGATGGGACAGGGAGAGGGGTCCCAAGTTCACTTGGGTCCAGTAGAGGTGGGGGGACCCCCTACTTTTTGCCAAGGCAAGCTGCCCGGTACCTAAGAGGGGCATCGTTGAGGTGCCCATACATCCTGGTACTTCTAGTGCCTCCCTAGTGCGTTTTAGACACTTGGACCCGTATTCCAGTCTTCATTGGAAAACGGATCGCTCGAGCCATTGTTGGGGGAACTCGGGGTGATTAGAAAGTCACCAGATATGTCTCTATCTGTCTTCTCAGCTCCCTGCCCGCCTAAGCCCTCGGTGGTCACGGGGAGCAGTGAGCAGAGCAGGTGCTGGGTGGCTGAGGCCAGGGTGGCCCCACCTTGGGGGGATGTGTGTGAGAGAGGAGTTAATTAAGGGAAAGGATGGCGGAGGGTATAGACATGACTCTCTTAATTGCTCTCCAATTTCTTTGGGCTTAGAAAAAAATCCAGATGGAGACTTCTTAAATCCCCCACCCTGGGGGTCGGGGCCAAGGAAGGCTCCCCACCACCTTTTGCTTGGCGTCGCTCTGCGCAGTGAATAGGGTCTTTGGCAGGGGCTTAAGGAGGAGACTCTTAGCCTGGGAGCTCCCAGGGCCGGTTCAGCTGGGAACAAAGGCGCGGGCAGAAAGGAATGTGGGGGAGCCCCGCGGAGCACAGCCACCTGGGGTAATTGGGAGGGCTGAGTGCAGATGAGTTTTCCCAGGTCTGTGAATACATTCTTTCAATAGAAGGTGCCTTTTCTTCAGATGAAAAGAAGAAAACCTCAATTACCTTCCCCTGAGGAGGAGGGTGTGGGAGTGTGTGTGTGTGTCCCCTCTGGGGGCTGCTGCCCCCGCGGGCTCCCTTGCCCTTGTGTGTGTCTTCAGAGACGCAGACAAGAGGCGACACAAAAGGCGTGCTCAGCCAGCCATGCCAGCGCGTGACCCCGGCCATGCTCGCGCTCCGTGTTCTAGGGCTTTCTTTTTGCGAGATTCTCAGGAGGACGAATCAGTGGCTGTGCCTATAAAGAAGAATTTGATCAAACTGGGCCCGGCGCCCGAGAGACAGCCAGAGAGACAGAATGGGGCCAAGGACAAAACTCCAGGATGGAAAGTTGGGGAAGGAGGACAGTCAGGGGGCCAAAGGCTGACCGCATGTCTGTGCCGGCCGTCCAGGGCCGCAGCTGCGTGGCTCCTGCCGCCTCCTGGCCCTTTGTTGAGGCCACTCCCGGTGGAGAGAGTCCTTCCCACCAGGCTAAGAAGTTGGGGTGACGACCTGGGGATCCATGGAACTGTGCTGGGATCAGGAAAGTTGGGGGAGAGTCGATAGGGACCCCGGGAGCAGGAACAGCCCGGAGCAAGGGGACCTGTTGAGAACAGAGTCACCATTGCCCCAAACTGCCCCGAGGGCTTGAGTCCCCTCCCTGGGAACCAGGGCAAAGTCCCTGCAAGAGATGGAGTCCCAGGTCTCACTTGGCTGGTGTCTTTGTGACCACTGGCTTCGGGACCTCAGTTCTCCCATCTGTAAAGTGAGGCAGTAGCCTGTCAGGTGTGCGTAATCCGTGAGGCAGAAGAAGCCCGGGCATCAGTATTGGACAGGCCAGGCCCTGTTTCACCAGAGGACGGGTCCGAGGTCCCAAGTGTCCAGGTTGAGCCCATGAGTCTACTAGCTGGGCACTGGGATGAAGGCACACCCCTGCTACTTGGGACTGGCCAGGTGGTCAGAGGAGAGCTTCTTGGGAGGTCAGGCAGCAGCCCTAAGAGGCCTTTTGGACACCTGGTTCCAGCCTATGCATAGCACTGACTGCAGTTGGCCCCTGTCTGTAGTCCTCTGGGACTCAGTTTTCCCATCTGTGAAATGGGGCGGTGCCTAATCACCATTATCTGAGTGCCCCTGTTGCTTTGGGACCCTCCCAGCTTCCTCGGTGGTCATCTGTGGCCTGTTTGTTTGTTTGCTGGGTCTTTAGAGTCAGGGGCTGAGATTACTGGTCCATTAGCTTCCAAGAGATGTACTTTAGGGACAAGCAAACCAGAGCCCAGGTGGCAGGCCTGGCTGTGAACCTGTTGCGACGCTGGCTGCACTCGACCAGCCTGGCGGTGGGGTTGCAGCCAGTAGCCGGCCTCCCGGTCAGCTTCTCGTGAACACAGAGTCTAATAGTGCTCACGCCCCACACTCGCTCCAAGGGGCTGTGTGGTGCGAGGATTGCATTTTATGGAGCACTTTTCCAAATGTGTGGGCCGCCGGCCAGTCCTGGAAAACCTCTGGGCAGTGGAGCGGTCACTGTGTAATGAGACCGGCCCGCGGCTGCAGTCCCAGGAGGGTGCGGTGGCCACACCTTCCCTGTGGCTCCCCCTGGGCCTTTGGGTCACGAGACCCTTGGCAACACACAACACCCCAGTTGGCAGCCTGGCCCGCTCAGCCGAGCACTTCCTGCAGAAGCCATCGGGGTGGCAAGTTCTGGAAAAGTGATCAGCCAGCGGCCCTGTGCCGCTGCGCGCCTCAGCCCCGCTTTGCAAACATTCCCAGCCATCTCTCTGTGCTTCAGTGGGCGCTAACAAACAGCTCCCGGAGCCTCGGTCAGGCTGCACCCGTCATTACCATGGTGGGCTGCCGCTTTGTTTGGTGACCTTGGTTACTACAATACCTGCGAGCTGAAACAAGGAATCAAAAAATTGCCAGCTTCAATTAGACCAGCAGACTGCCTTTCCCAAGGCTGCCTCTGCCATTCTATCCATTAACGGTACCCATACGCCAAATAGGCCCTAATTCTCTCTAATTGCCCACTCCTGGAGCAAAGAGTGAAATTCCAGGAAGAGGCATATGTAAACATCCTTCACCACCCACCAAGGGGGGGGTGAGGCGGCTGAGGGGGCCGGCGACAGAGAGAAGGGACAGGATTTCAAAAGATGTTCCAATTACCGCTCTCATTTTTGTAAATGGGCCCATAATGCACAGGGCCCTGGCCCTCACAAAGGTCCAGGAAATGAGTTCTGCACAGACCTGCATCTCAGGGCGGGCTCTAAACATCCAGTGATTTGTCCCCAAAGACAGGTCAGATCACTTAGGTTCCATGTGCCTCCAGAAAAGAGTGAGTTTAAAGATCTTGGGATGCTGAACGAGAATGTTCTAACCCCGTTAAGCTGGGGAGGAGATAGGGGGTGTGTCCACGGTGCTTTCTGGGTGGATCTGGAGCTCTGCACACCTTTTTGCGAGGTCTCCCAGGCACCAGTGTGTGACAGTCGCTCCTCTGGACTCCGTAAGGGGACCTCGTGTTTTCCTGTGGCGCCAGGCACTGGCTCATCTTTGCAGCTTCTCTGACATTTGTTAAGATTTCAGCCCAGGACCGTGTTATTAGCACAATACGCAAATTCAGGCCTGCGTCTTCCCAGAGCAGCCTGGGGTCTGCACGAAAGTTCATCCAGGGCGACCAGGAACTCTGAGGGCGCATGGTCCTCCCACCCCCAGCAGAAGCAGGTCCCATTAAACTACCTAAGAGACCAGAACAATCCCCAAAGTACTTCCCTGCTCCTGTCCTGGGGGAAGTGGCCGTGCCCGCGGTCAGTCCTGCTGCAGTTTCAGGCTCTGGAGTCCCTCTGTCCTCTTAGGGCCCCGTGGGTGGTGGGAGGGCCACCACAGGTGTCTCAGGCTCCTGGGAGGGCGGGGCACATCTCAGGTGGTAGGTATCCCGCACAAACGGAGGTCCCAGAACCCTCAGATAACCAGTCCGCCCTTGGTCACTCATGAGCTGTAACTGCTTCATCAGTACTTATTTTTAAAATACTTTTTGTTTTTTTTTGGATAGAAAAGCAACCCATTAGGGAATAACAGTGTTTGGGAAGCTCACGACCAGGGAAGGAGTTTTGAGGAGGGTTTAGAGGTAAAAGGTGTATCCCCAGTGCCCTGTCCAGATGTTGGGGGCCCCAGTGAGTGATGCAGCAGGGAATGGAGAGGCAAAGGCAGCAGTGGCTTACGTCAGGGCAGGGGAGTTGGAGTGATGCAGCAGGGAATGGAGAGGCAAAGGCAGCAGGGCTATCCCCAGTGGCTTACGTCAGGGCAGGGGAGTTAGCGAGAGCCTCTTCCTTGGGGTTCCCTGGAGGGCCAGGGGCAGCCTGCGCCCTCTCATTCTCTCCCCAGTCTCAGGCTCCGCCCTCTCGCCTGTTCAAACCTCAGCCATTGCAGACCACCTGTTGGCCATACCTACTTACCTTCACTAGACTCTAATAAATGTTCAAAATCCACTCACTTAAAAATTTGTAATGAATAGACTATTTCTTCTGAGTAATTTTAGGTTTACAGAAAAAGTCAGTGGTGAATCCAGAGAATTTCCATTTCACCCCCACACCCCCACTTTCCCCTGTCATTAGCATCTTGCATTAGTGTGGCACATTGTTACAATCGATGAGCCAATATACGGTTGGCTTTCTGGATCCGTGGGTTCTGCACCCATGAATTCAACCCAACGTGGATTGAAAATATTTGGGAAAATAGTCACGTTGCTGCTGACAACGTGTGTTGTGTCGTGAGGCCTACAATGGCTGCTGGCTGCGTCCACTGAACACACACAGGCTTTTTTCTTGTCGCCATTCCCTAAACAATCCCCTGTAACAACTACTTACACAGCATTTACACGGTATGAGGCATGACAAGCAACCTAGAGGTGATTTAAAGTCTGCGGGAGGGTGTGCATGGGTGACACGCCAACACTACACCACTTCAGGTGAGGGACAGAGCACCCGCGGATTTCGGTATCTGAGGGGGGTCCTGGAACCAATCCCCCGTGGATGCGGAGGGACAACTCTAATGACCTACCTGCCATTACCCAACTCACTTTCTTTAAACTCAAAATTTAAGGCAAATGCTTGAAGTCAGTGACCCTTAATGCTGCCCACAACCCCCTTCTCTGTGTCATCCCGGGCCAGCTGCTCTGCTGGTCACCTGGCCACCACCTGGCTGCACTGTTGACATCTCCCTGAACACACGCCGATGGCCGCTCTGCCCTTCCAGCCAGGCAGAGTGCCCTTCCAGGGAGCATCCCATCCCGTTCATGCTTTTGTTGTCCAGCTCAGCTCTCCCTTGGGCAGTGGCCCTAAACTCTTGGATTTCACAAAACAGAACTTAGTACACGGGCAGCACCAACCGCAGGAGCCATGTTCCATGCTGTCCCCTGCCCTCTCCTCTCCATCTGTGGCTGAAGTTGGGGTGGGGAGCTCGGCAGGCAGGTGAGTGCTTGATCAGTGTATTAAAAAGAGAGATGCTGGCCTAGCCGGTTTGGCTCAGCGGACTCGAGGGTCCCGGGTTCGATTCCGGTCAAGGGCATGTGCCTTGGTTGTGGGCACATCCCCAGTGGGAGGTGTGCAGGAGGCAGCTGATCGATGTTTCTCTCTCATCGATGTTTCTAGCTCTCTATCCCTCTCCCCTCCTCTCTGTGGAAAATCAATAAAATATATATTTCCAAAAAAAATAAGAGAGGTGCTTGGCGTCACCAGTTCCATACTTGCTAGACATTGGGGAGTCCCTGCTCCATTCAGTTGGATGAGGTTCTCTTCAGTGACTAGTGCCTTGTCTTTCCAGACGAAGCCATCGTCCGGAATTCGTCGTGGGATGGGACCTCAGACACAAGCCCCCGCACCCTCCACCTGTGAAATCGTAAGTTCCCGGAATGCGGAGCACACACCTATGGCCTTGTCACTGAGGGTGGGGGGCCGCCACTCTGCACACTGCCAGGCGAGCCTTGTGGGAGGGACTGCTGAGCACTGGTCTGCTGGCAGGGAGGTGGGCGCCCAGCAAGCGAGTCGAATGAGGACCTTGGGGGGCTCATGTTCTAAGGCAGGACCTCCAGCCTCTTGTGTTGTGGCAAAGAATTCTATAGGCAGCTTCGAGTGCCAAACCCTAAAAGAATTTCTTTCACTCCTCGAAATGAATGGCCCTTTCATTACCGAGTGTCCCTATGGCTCTTGTGCTGCGGGGCAGCCTACGATGGAAGTGCCCTTTTGAGCTGGGGGCCTTCACAGGCCACTGAAAGAGCTCGGGCCGAGGGACCTGCCTTTCAAATGGGCTTGCAGCCCCAATGACCTCGCTCACCCCCTTGAAATGTCTGGAAAACAGAATGGGCAGATTTTCTGTCTTCACGGTGTCCGGCTGAACCTCTTCAAGTTCTTTATTGTTGAGAACTGAGACACTCAGCAATGGTAATGGGTCATTCCTTTTGTATTTGCCTTGAAAGGCCAAAATATTTTTATATTGCTACAAACAAAGCTGCCTATTTAAAAATGAACTCCATATCCGTTGTTTCCCACCGGGGAGACCGTGTACGACGTGTGTGTCTCTGTGTGTACTCCCGGGGCCTGAAACTGCTTTCTCATGGGATAGCCATTCACAGGGCCGGGGGGAAGTGCCCGCCCTGTCCCCAGTGGGTTAGGCTACACTAACTTTGACTATACCTGTGCCTGCTGGTGCCATGTGAATGTGTTAAGGACTGTGGGTTGTGCACACCCTGGTCTTGGTGGTTAACTCGGTAAGGAAAAAAAAAAAGGCCCAAGGTATGGTGATTTTATTGGTTCGGTGAAGGAATGAATAAACAAATAGGTAAAGAAGCGACGAGCCAGAATGAGAGTGTATGCTGAACAAGATCCAATGGAGATCACTATGTAAGTCAATAAAATACTGAATCAATGTGTGAATAAGGCCACATACGAACTGGTATCAGGTCATCATGGACCCAGGAATATGTGCCATTCAAATAGAGAGCACCTAAAGTTTTTCAACAAAAGAAAAAAAGCTAAATAAAGGAAAGAAGAAGTAAGTAGAAATGCTTAAACCAATGGTGACTGTACTGTATTGTATGTGTAAACGCTTGCTAAGGGGGTGGATTTTATGTAAAGCATTGTTATAAATGGTAATAACACATACAAGGGTGAGAAGAGACTTTTCAAGGTGATGGACAAGTGTATGACACAGATTGTAGTAATGGTTTCACAGTGCACACTTATCTCCAAATTCTGATGTGCATGTGTACATTTATTGTATAGCTTTTTGTCAAAAAGGTAAAAATTAAAAAAATAAAGAGAAAGTTACTGTGGAAAACCCCACAAACCAATGGTGAGGTTCCGAGACCCGTCCAGGTGGGACAGATGCTGGAGAGAAGGGACAGGTGATTGAAAGGGAGAAAGAAAATGGCAAGAAGCAAAAAATTAAAGAAAAGGAAGAAAGATAACTTAAAAAAATTTTTTTTATTGATTAAGTTATTACATATGTGTCCTTAGAAAGATAACTTTTAAAAATTAGGAGATAGTGGATAGAGCGTCGGCCTGCGGACTGAAAGGTCCCAGGTTCGATTCCGGTCAAGGGCATGTACCTTGGTTGCGGGCACATCCCCAGTGGGGGGTGTGCAGGAGGCAGCTGGTCGATGTTTCTCTCTCATCGATGTTTCTAACTCTCTATCCCTCTCCCTTCTTTTCTGTAAAAAATCAGTAAAATATATATAAAAAAATCTTAAAAAAAAAATAAAAATTAGGAGATGAGTAAATATAAGGACTATGTCAGGTTATTATAAGCTGATTAATTTGAGTAGGTGCTCCTGGCATAGAAAAATAAACAACAGAGGAAGTTAAAAGAATAATTAAAGAGGAAGGAGGATTCAGGGGACCAAAGATGAGAAATAACTTTAACCAACAGTGTTTTTTTAACTCTGGGTACATATAAATAAATAAATACTGAAATGAAAGAAAGCCAAAAAGAAAGGAGAAATAGAATGGCTGAGTGAGCAGTGAGATACCTGGCCCTGGGTTGGGAATGTGGTGTGAGGGGCTTTGCGTTGTCAGTCCCTGGGAGCTGAGGTCCGTTACATGAAATGATGAAAGAACAAGAGGATAAATAAAACATCTAAATACAAGTCCAGAAATAGGGAAGAAAAAGTAGCAGGTGTTAGGTACAGAAGTACATTAATGGGTGTACTGATGCTAAGAGGGGAGGTAAAAGACTGCCACGAATCAGGGGGTAGGGTGAATCCAAGTCTAAAACTGCAGTACTGACAATAAAATAGTAAGCATATAAATAAACAAGGAGAGGAGACCCTAAGGACAGCACTCCTGATGAGAGGTTGGGTGGGTGGGTGTGGGGGGGACGGGACGGTGGAGGTTCATGAATTCCCTCTGGGCAGAAGCTCTAGGAGAATGAAAGAAGTCAAGTGAGAAAGAGGGGATATAGAAAGCTGTAACAAAAGAGACAGGAAGAATAAAAAGGGACAGTGACTAAATGAACAAGTGGTAGATCCTCAGGAGAGGGTTAGGCTAGGACTGGTAATGAGGGGACCTCACAAATTGGATCACAACAGGTCCAAAACTGAGCCCTCCATTCACTAGAAGAGGAGTAAATACCTAGTAAAAAGAAAGAAAACAGGAAGGAAGAATGAATGGATGCGTGGTTGAAGGAAGCACAGAAGGAATTAATGAGACTGGGCCTGTGGGGGCCATGGTGGGTGTTTGCAGGAGGCAGTGGGATTTATCCGACCATGGCAGCTGAGCTCAAAGAAATAAAGAATGAGAGAGTCAAGGGGAGAAATAGTGAAAGTTGGAGGGAAATATAAAAATTATCTAAAGAAGAAGAAGGTAATTAGGTAACAAATAAATATATGAGAGAGCCATTCTAGGAATAAGAATGAGGGTGCATGAACCAAACTCTGATTAATTCAAATCTGTGCTTCTGACATGGGCAACCACCCACCCACCCAGGAAACAGTTCAAAGCTGACACACATAAGGGAGGACCACCGTGAGGCCAGGGAGGGGAGGACCCATTGACTACAGATTATCATGTATCCAATTAGCTGCATCTGTCATCCAGAAGCGGAAAAACAACAATTTAAGTAGAAAGACTAAATGGATGCATGAAGGCATGAATGAGGGAAAGAATGAAGAAAAAGATTTGCATTGACTGATGAGGAGGGGGTTGTAGAGGGGGTTAGGGTTCAGCCAATCCCTGGTGCCTGGTCTCCAAAAGAATGAAAGGCAGTAAGAAAGGTTGAAAGACTGGTAGAAAAACCAATTAAGATGGGGAAAAATCAACATAAATAAAAGGAGTAAGAAAAATAATAAATAAGTAGGCCAAAAAACTACCATGTATGAGAGAGGACTGGTTTAACACTGATCTTCCACATTAATTCAAATCTGTGGCCCCGAAGTTTATAAATAATAAAAACAATACCACACGCAAAAGACACAGAGAATAAATCCATGTGTTCCATGAGAGAGCAAGAAAAAGAGTTTGAAAATAAAAAGACTGGGAGAAAAAAGATGTAGGAAAAGAAATTAAAATAGACGTGTGGGGGAAAAGGCACTTACTAGATAAGTATTTAAATATAATGAACAAATATTCATTAAATATAATTAGTAATAAAAAGTGAGTTTCCACAGTAAAAAAAACCCCAAGTGGCTAAAAAGAAAGAAGGAATTAGCAGAGGAATGGCTGTGTGAATAAATGAATAAGAAATGATGATTTGAGAAAACAAGGAATGGGAGGCATGGAAAATTATGACAAGATGAATATAAGCAATAAAAACATTAAGTGAATATATATGTATATATGTATGTATACACACACACACACACACACACACACATATATGAGAGAAAGAGAGAGAGGGCCATGCTAGAACAAAAAAAATGAGACAATATCTTGACCCCCAAATTATGACTGATTGAAAACTGGGCTTTTGATGTAATTAAATAAACCCTAAAGCCAAGCACCAGTACAAGAAATTAACAAGCAAAAGGGCGCCCCACGGACAGGTGCTGAGAAGGCTCCAGGAACCACAGATGATGGTTAATCCAATTCTGTGCACCTGAGGCCCATAGATAAAAGGATAAATATTGAAATAAAGGAGTGACAGGAAGGATGAACAGATATCTGAGCGGCTGCCTTAGAAACGGCTGTGCCAGCATCCGCCAGGGCCGGGCTGCCATGGGATGGATGCTCATGTCACTCTAGGGAGCATGTCACCTGTGGTCCCTAAACATGAACAGATGCAAGAAAAAAGCATCAGAGTTAAAGAAAGAGACGAGGAAAGCAAGATGAAACTAAGTGAAAGAGAAGGAAAAACCCCCACCAAAAAACCCCGTAAAGAGGTAACATGGGTGGGTCTCAGATAGAAAAGCCTGTTGGGGCTGGTAATGGGTCATCATTAGTCCTAAAGATGGATGAGATCATCCGATCCTGTGTCTAGGGCAAGGGAAAATGAGAATTAAAAAAAAATGCAAAAAAGGAAACAATAAATAAACAACCAAAATGATAAATGGCTAGTTAAGAGGTTGTCTGAACGGGGATTATAATTGGTTTACATACATACTCCTTAAATAGATAAATGCATTACACCTTTCAAAGAATAAATGAAAAATTGAGAAAACACTGGCCAAAGAAACAGCCACTGCAGTAAAATATATGCAATCGAGGTATATAAATAAAATAATAAATACTGAATGTAAAAGGTGACTAAATGCAGGGAAGAAAGATTGCACGGGAAAATAAATTCATGGGCCAGTGAGGTTCATTTTGCACATGGGGTTTTGACTAATACAATTTCACAGGAGACCTAATAAGTAAAAGAAGACCCAGAATAAGAAAGAAAGGACAAATGCATGAGCTAGTGAAAGA